GGAACACAAACATCCAGTCCCATAAAAGCCTTGAAATGCTTTAAAGCCAGAGTTCATGCTGGCAGTACAGCCCTATGAAGCCGCGCTTTAAAATGACGCAGATTTTTTTTTCTGCTGCTATTGCTGAATCAGGAAATCTCTTTCTGGCACGCCACCAACAGAGAGCAAAACTGTGTTAAACTCTGTTTCCCTTATTTTTAAGCCTTCTCAGGTTTTTAAGTGGATTTAGCCCATCACGTCTGGGCGCCATCTGTTGAGATAGGAGCGGCAGGGATGTGTCCCTGGCACCCGGCCGCCCACATGGCTAGTTTATACCCAGAAATAATTACACGGAAACTGTATTCTTTCAAACACTGCCTGGCCTGGCTAGGTCCGTAAGATACAAGACCCACCTCCATCACAGGTCAGGATAGGTCATGCTGTGTTACAATAGAACATTAACCTTTAAAACTAAATAGCATAAAATAAAATAAAATCTTGATGGTTTATTTTCTACACGAGTTGTACAAATCCAGCACTCTGAATAGTCACTCACAGTTCTTGGAACTTTAACATGAGGTGCTATTCATAATCACAGGAGGTGATAAGGAATTGGTAGTTCCCTGACCTCAAGAGGCATTCACCTGGAGTTGACTCATATTCCATTGCTTTCACGTGTTCTGAACTAATCAATGGGTGTAGCATAGGTGCAAGAAGGTTGGGTAATGATTGGCAGCAAGGACACACAAGTCATTGGAAAAATACTTGTTCTTTATTAATCAAAACACTTTAAAATGGTATTTATTATAGAAATTCAATAGTGCACTATTCACTCAAAGAATGCTTTGAAAGTATTAATGATCCACATGTCCAATTAATAAGAACTAAATAATATATTTAAATCATTTGCTTTACAGACTCCTTTATTGGGTTTTATTTGGATGGAATAATCACTTGTTCTGTTAGCAGTCAGAGAGTATTCCCTGTGTTAATTCATATTTACTCCAGGAGAACTCAGCTTTCAGATGGTTAACAGTCTTGCTACTTAGAAAAACATTCCTGAAAGGCAAATGCAAACATCTTTATGGACAGTGCAATTACAGCAGGAACTATTAGGGCAAGAGGTTTACTTCCTCTCTCACTGTACTTGCCTCCCCCAGGGGTCCCACTGGGACCAGGGAAATACCAACAAGTGTGGACCAATGACTGTCATACTTTATGATAGCAAGGAACTTTATCTAGTTTCTTAAATCATGTTCTTTCTGCTAAATTTTAGGTTTCAGCTTCTGTGGCTTATTTCTGGTTAGAGAAAATATACAAAGGAACACTTTTATGTGGTTTTATTTATTGGCAGTTTATATTTTACTAAATATTATGACTAGTTCCTGAGTTCTGGAGTAGCACATTTTCTTCCTCTGAATCACACACAAAGTTCCCTCTGTGAATGTGTAGCACTTGGCACTTCAGAAAGCAGAATCTAAAACCTACATCGTCAGATAGTTGATCTATTTTAATGTGTTTATCTGGGAACAAGGATGTAAAGAAGGGGTCAAATTACACATTAGTGTATGAAGAAAGCATGGACTTCAGGGAAGACCCCATGTTTTAGAAATACAAAGAAAATTGGAAACTAGTGTTGACTCCCATCTACACAATGGTGTAAGGAGCCCTGAGCTCTCACCAAGAGCAAGGTGAATGCCTGTGCTTACTCACATAGAGATGGGCCATCATCTTTTATTACTCCATCAGAGAAAACAAGTTTCACATTTGTCTAAGAACAATTTAACTTTAGAAGAGGTTCTGTAAACTGATGAAAATGTAGAAGGTATTTTAGATAATTATTCTTTCTTCCTAACTGACACATAGATTGAATTATGTGTAACAGTTTTATATTTATGTGTGTGTATTATACCTTATTTTGAAATCTTAATTCTTTAAAGGTCACTTTAATTTTAACTCAGCTTGTTGCTTCTGTGTAATGAACCATCCCAAATATTAGTAAATTCACACAACAGCCAACTTTAAGTTTACTTAGAATTTTGTGGGTCTGGTTTTTGGAATGGTTCTTCCCAGTCTTTCCTACATCCTACCCAGAACTGCAGTCTTGGATCCAGTAACTAAGTGATGCCTGAAGCTATTTAAGAAACTGTTCTTAAATGGTCTTCTTGGAGTTTTGCTTCTAATCAGGCAACCTGGGCTTCTTCAGAATGGGAAAATTGCTCTCAGGAATGCTGAGGAAAAAAAAACTCTGACCTGTAAGGGAATCCTAAAGTGTCTGTTTATTACATGTTTACCAATGACCCCTGTTCAAAGTGAACCGTCTGGCCAAGTTCAGTGTCAAGTCAAGAGTCATTAGAATTCTTCCCAAGGTGATCTAGCATTGGTCTTATAAGAAAAACAGAAAATAAAATAAAATTAAAAAAAAAAAACAGAAAAAGGACAAAATCACAACAAAACAGTGGAGAGATAAATGGGGCATTCTCTTTCCTGCTCTGTGTAGTTCTTCTGGCAGTTGCTGTTGACTGGGAGGGTAATAAGTTCATTAGATTTTAAACGCTTAATTCAAGCTAATTATCTAGAGGAACATTGTCAGAAAATGCCAAATTTTGAATGCAAAAAAAGTATGAAGGAATATCTAAGACAGAATAATTAGAAGTTTGTTTTCTTATAGTAGAAAAAATATCTACTTGGGGCACAAATAGAAGGAAATGTGTTTTTCTCAGATTTCATCGAGGTGGGTTTTCAGCAGACTCTGAACAACACAGGTATATAGAGAGGGCTTGCTATTCACTTGCGTGTTAGATAAATCCGTTGGTAACACAGATATTTGTTGAGTTGGTTGCTAGAAAGAAAATCTGTCAAATTAAGCTGCAGAGTCCATGTTCTAGCTCACAGGATGGGAAAAGTGAGTACATTTTAACCGTGGCAAAGGCTGCTGAATTTAATGATGGACTGGGAGAAGGTTCAGTGTGGTACCCAATGTGAACTTTATTCTTGTGTTCATCTAGTGTCTTAAATTGCAAATC